TTACAATATTCTTAATACACCATGCAGGCTTGCCTAATTTCTGTCTTGGCATTTGTCTTTAATACATGGGAATCCGCATTGGATCCTTGTTCTGCAGAACCTGTTCAGATCTCCAATTCACACACGGCACCAGCCTCCCCCTTAAATATAAACTATGCGCGTAAGCATTGTATCTACAGGCACTGCCGCACGTGCGAACACACGAGCAGACACAGGCGCGAACACACGAGGAAACACACGCGCAGAGACAGAAGCGAACACACGAGGAACACGAGCGAACACACAAGCGAACATACGAGCGAACACACGGGCGAACACACGAGCGAGCACACGAGCGAACTCACGAGCGAACACACGAGCGAACACACGAGTGAACACACGAGCGAACACACGGGTGAACACACGGGCGAACACACGAACGAACACACAAGCGAACACACGAGTGAACTCACGAGGAAACAGACGAGCGAACACACGGGCGAACACGTGAGCAAACGAGCGAACACACGGGCAGACACACGAGCAAACACACAAGCGAACACACAAGTGAACATACGAGCGAACAGACATGAAAACACACGAGCGAACACACGAACGAACACACAAGCAAAGTCACGAGCGAACACACGAGTGAACTCACGAGGGAAGAGACGAGCAAACTCACGAGCGAACATACAAGCGAACACGTCAGCAAACTTACGTGCAAACACACGAGTAAACTCACGAGCGAACATACGAGCGAACACACGAGCGAACACACAAGCAGACACAGGATCGAACATACGAGCGAACACACGAGCGAACACACAAGCGAACACACGAAGAAACACGAGCGAACACACGAGCGAACACACGAGCAGACACACGAGCGAACACACAAGCAGACACAGGAGCGGACACACAAGCGAACACACAAACAAACTCACGAGCGGACACACGAGCGAACACACGATCAGAGACCGGTGTACTCACGTATCTGTAGGTAGTTTGCGTTTCAGTAACAGCGCCCGCACGTAGAGAGCGTGGTGGTCCGAAGTGATCATCGTTTCCGCCGACTAAACAAGCAGAACACAGAGTAGACGCAATAGCAACTACCGAGCTATCGTAGCGACGAGCAAAGAAATTGTCGAGGTGACAAGAGATTCTTCACAGTAAATTACTACACAGTGTATAACGTTTACGGACATAGCGTGCAGGCGATCAATAAATACGCTGCGAACTACATATAATTAGGAGAAACATAAAAGGTTAGATAAAGATAAGGTAAAGATAGGTAAAATGAGACTTTGTGTTTCTTCTTATATAATCATACAGTAAGTGTGATCTTAGAGGAGGTAATAGGCGGATAATATATAAGGGTTAGTCTCCATCCACGCATCGTGCTAGAATTCTATTGGGTATTTCGTACTCGCTACTTTGATATATACGTGTATATAGGTACAGATTAGGTAAATGTAATTATATAACGCGGAAAACAAAAACAATACAACGTAATGAGTGTTGCTTCTTTGAAATCGCCTAGTCACCCTGAACGGAAACATAACATTGACGGAACAGAATTGACCGAAAATAACGTGTAGCGACAGTATTATTCGCGCTATACCGTGTCTCTTTCTAGTAGGTATCGGTTGCCTTCTTTTATTTCCAAGAAAAGAAGTACCAGGAAGCGTATACTTATGAAGCCATACCCTGCGATGACGACTCCGTCAAGCATGCCCACGTAAGCGGCCTGGAATCATGACGAATGATGTGTACAATAAACTTTTATTATATTCATGTAGCCTAAGAACTTAGCTTAATAATAAGAATGGTTATTCGTAGCGAAACACCATCGAGTTTCCAGAAGCTTACTTACCCATGTACGTGAACAGTCTTCCAGTGAAAATAACTGCACCAATTTGATTACCAACCTGAGGAGTGAGGACAATATTATGCTAGTCAGACAGGTGCATGGTGACGATTGTACTATGCCTTCTCTTCTATACCATTTAATCCCCCACATAAACGCAATTAATTTCAAACGTTCTTTTATACATATTGATAGTTAATCTATCGTGAAAGCTTGCGTAGTGCGAACACCTGTACGTAGCAAACGCACATAAATAGTCTAATATAACCTATACATAATGTAATCATGTGACAGATGAACGCGCAAGATTTCTAAATCAACTCACAGTACTAGTAACAAAATTGTGAGCGAAGATTATATATTACCAGGAGCTAATAATACTAATTACTATTGGCTCTTGATAGTACTCATTCATCGAGGTAATGATCATCGTTGATCAGATCTCCCTCATTATAGAACTCACCACATTATAGAGTAGGCACTGCCAATGCTGTAGCCTATCAGATGATACGGGCTACTGAGACAGGAGAAGAATGGCAAGTGTGCGATGACCACCGCTATCAGCATCTCAGCGTAAACAAACACTAGACGGGTCCGAAATATGTGGTATCAGCGCTTTAAATTAACATCAATTATCACGTTAGCATTGGCAGTATTGACCACGGCGCCGTAGAAACGCTCAGTATTGTACAGATGCAACACGCACCCCTTAAATTAAACACGGGTGGTTCGAGCTGTAGAACAAATAGCAAGAACTGCAGCATGCTAGTGCAGCAGTCACTTGCAATAAATAAGCCATTCGTAGAATCACACAAGTGATGATGCGAGCGGAATACATGTGACCATCGCTCCGAGATCGGGTTTCGTGGTGAGAGACGACGTCCGATGACAGGACTACTATATACTATATACTATATATATACTATACTATATACTATAGACTATATACTATACTATATACTATAGACTATATACTATAC